CAAGACACCAAATCTTCAGCTAGGATGTCTCAGCCTCTAGACCTGTCAGAAATAAACTGCTGCTGTTCATAAGCAACTCAGTCTGTGTTATTTTTGTTACAGCAGCTCGAAAGGACTAAGACTGACAATAGTAATAGAACATGTGTATGGAGTGCCTACTGTCTACCAGACACTGCTAACACCAGCAAACCTCTGACATGCGTTCAGTAAGGATCAGGCATTGTTCTAAGCATCTTCAGTGCACGAGGCTGGGACCAGGATTACTTTTTCCGATGGGAAATTGAAAAGGTAGAACCAGGATACAGGCTGAAGCACTATGCCAGCCTAACCACTTTACTACCCTAATTATTATCTCAAAACTCTGATGCAGGCTGTTATTTATTGTTTTGCAAACAAGGAAGTAGAAGTTGTTCAGTTGAGTTCAGTTGCTCAGTCATGTCCGACTCTTTGCGACCCCATGAACTGCAGCATGCCAGGCCTCCCTGTCCATCATCAACTCCCGGAGTCCACCCAAACCCATGTCCATTGAGTCGGTGATGCCATCCAACCATCTTATCCTCTGCTGTCCCCTTCTCCTCCTGCCCTCAATCTTTCCCAGCATCAGAGCAAGGTAAAAATCAATCATTCACCCAAGGTCTTGCTTGGTTAGAGCTGAGGCTCTCTTTGCAATGTCAAGAAAGCAACTGGCCCTAAGTGCTATCAACACAGGACTCTGTGCTCTAAGATTTCAGGGATCTAGTCTGGCCAAGAAAGGTTCTGGGGAGAGTTACCAAGTTGCAGCCACCAACAGGCTCTGTCAAGGGCAGAAGTTTTGGAGCCAGGGGCTGAGCCAATGCCAGCTAGGCTAGGCGGAGGTGGCCTTGAAATGGGAGCAAATATTAATGAATCACCAGATAAATGAGAGAGGAAGGGAGGGAAAGGAGGCTAGTTCTCTTTGAGTCTGAGAGAGAAGGGCCCTTTCCGAGGGTACCGCATGGCCAGGGGTTAGTAAGAAGGAAGACAGGCTGCAGCAGGCTACCCCATGAGGCCACCTGACCTGAACCCAGGGCAAACCGGGGACTGGGCTGCTGGATGTGGGGGAGGCTGGAAGCAGTGGCGAAAAGCTGGCCTGAGTGATGGGCTGGGGAACCCCACCTTCCAGTGTCCAGGAAATTCAGCTGGAGGCAGTGTGGCCCCTGCACAGCTTAATGAGAATCTGATTCTTGGATTGGGTATATCAGTGGGTCCAGAAAAAGGTTTTTCCTTACATGAGAAGCATCACCCTGCCCTTCCCCTCCATGGGCCCACAGTTGGCCAAATCCAGGAAAGCAGCACAGAGCCCCTGGACACCAACAAATTCTGCTTTATAGTTTCAGTCCAACAAACAGTGATTTCAGGTATCTGACTGTATCGCCCTCCACGTGCACAGCAAGGGAACTTACGCCACTGAAATATCCATGAATTCACAGTCACTTGATAAATACTACGGCGCACATCCACGACTGTCCCTAGGGATGCTGCAGTAAACAGTTGCCTGTGCCCAGAGGAATGCCGTAGGGTCCAGGAGGCGCCCAGACGCGGCATGACCAAGTGAGCAGTGCTGCCAGCAGGAAAAGGGAGGATGCTAAGAAAGCACACGGAGAAGCCTGCACCCCAGCCCCGGGGCAGGGGGACCCTCTATGACAGCCCGCAGCCTCAAAGGAGGCTGAAGGGTTTAAGGACACACCCCAAGGCCAGTAAAAACTAGCCATGGGGGGTAAAACAGGAGGAAGACGATCCCTAAACTGCTAAACTGCAAAGCAATAGACTTTGATACTGGACTGTTTATCACATACAGCATTCTTATTTTCTAAGGTGTGTTTTTTTACATTATAAAATACTTCAAAAAATTAAACAGAATAATATGACAGATACTTAGGTAGATACTACTAGTTTTAACAATTTTAAATATTGTGTGTGTGTGTGTGTGTGTGTGTGTGTGTGTGTAGGGCTTCCCAGGTGGTTTAGCAGTAAAGAATCCACCTACAAAGCAGGAGACTTGGGTTTGATCCCTGGGTTGGGAAGATCCCTTGGAGAAGGAAATGACAACCCACTCCAGTACTTTTGCCTGGGAAATCTCATGAATAGAGGAACGTGGTGGACTACAGTCATGGAGTGGCAGAGTTGGACATAATGACTAAACAGTATATTTTTAGCAAAAATATATTTTTTTTAAGAAGTAAAATGTTATTTATAGAGCTCTTCTCCTCCATCCCCAGAGGTAACTACCATCCTGCACTGGGTGTAACTTTCCCTCTGTTTTCATTTATTAACCCCACAGGTATCAATCCATAAACAATAGAAAGTAGCATTTTGTGATTTTTGAAGTTTTTCCTACATGGTATCATAGTATATACATTCTTTTAGGAATTGCTTTTTATATTCAACATTGTGTTATTTTAACTGCTGAATAATATTCAATTGTATTAAGCTGCATGATTATTACACAATTATGTCTTCCCTTTTTGATGGCCATTTAAAGTTTTACTCCACCTCCCACCTTTTTTTTTTCCTTGCCATAACAGTAAACACCCTTGTACCTGTCTCCTTGTGCACATTCCATGATGTATGCCTGGAAATGGCATTGCTGGGTTACGGGTATTCTCATCTCCGGTGGTACTGCACATGGCCATATTCTGCTGCAGAACCACTGTGCCAATTTATATTCCCACCTACATACGTATGTTCCTGTTTCCTCACATCCTCACCAATCCTGATGTTAACAAGCTCTTAAATTTTGCTAATCTAGTGAGTGCGATATGCTATTTTCTCACTTTAATCTGCCTTTCCCTAGTTACTAGTGAGCAGTCCACCTTATGCTATTCAGGCTTCCTCTGCTGATTGCCTCTTCACATTGTCAGGCCATTTTCTACTGAGTTGTCTTTTTTAAAAGACTGGTTTGTAGAAATCCATTAGATATTCTGGATATTAATTCTTACCAATTGTTGTTTTACTTGACAATTACTCAGAAACAATACTATTGAGAGAATCAGTTAAAAGATGAGTGTAGTCTCTTAAATATGGGTACCTTCAACCAAACGATTTTTATTGACTTTAGCAGAGGACCTGGCTTGTATTTTCTTAATGGTTTCATATCTCATGGCCTAGGGCAGCATATGCAAACAGATGTCTAAAATGAAGAGTTCACGTTCATTGCTGAAGAGATACCTACACTAAATGATTAACTACCGTTCTGGAAATGTTAAAGACCCTCAGAGAAGCTGCAAGCCCTATGATGACCACAGACACATTTTAAATCAAAGACCAGATTATCATTTGATTTAGGGTGATTCTTAAAACGTTTTCATTTTTATTCAAATTTTGTTCAATTTGTTTTCTTGATTTCAGTTTAGAATTTGACTTTTTATCATACCTCATAACAATCCTGAAAAAGTCAGTAATAACATAACCAAAAATTATCACAACTATTAACATCCTCATAACTAAATCCAAAGACTGGAAAGTTATCATCCTCTTAAATCTATTTATTTACAGGTGATGAAACTGAAGTTTGAGAGGCTAAGAAATTTATTCATTCATTCATTCAACAAATATTTATTGAGCTTCTACTCTAACAAATATCGTTTAGGTGCTTACTATGTATTAAGCAAAGAATCTCACCTAAATTTAGATATCAAACATTTAAAACAGAATTTAGACATATTTAGTGTCTCCAATGATGACTTTAAGAGGTAAATTTTGGAAGTTAAATAGCTTGCACAAAGTCTTTGGTCCATGAGTGGAGGAGGCAAGGTTAAGACCCTGGGATTCTGATCCCAGCAGGGCTTCCAGCCTTGTCATAGGATAGGATATGCCCATGGTGCTTGCTCTGAGTTTGAAACACAGAGATATGCATCCTACAGGAAAACAGGGCTCTGGCATTCACACAATATCACGTCCTCTTTCACAGATGAAATTCAGATCTTCTGGTGAAGAGGGCAATGGACAGGGGATGGGCAGGAGCCTATGCCCTCACTTAACAGAAACCCATGCTTGTGTGGGCCATTGACCCAAGACAAAGATTACTAATGTAGAGAACCCACCGTGGAATCAGCTCTGGGAGAAGAGTAAGTACTTATTCTTCTTGGTGAGCCAACCAGACAAGAGTCCTTATGAGGGGCTCACAGTCTAGTAGAGGAGACGAGCAATAAGCATATCAGGAAACCAGTGAAATAAACAATTACAAGGTGTGGTTAAGGTTTCTTCTCCAATATTTTATGATCTGTCTTGAACTTTTGAACTTCACAGACCTCCAAGGAGGAACGTGAGGGGGACAGAAGGTCGCAACACAGTGATTCTTGTACAAGGAACGGTATGGCAGTCTGGGACTGGGACCCTCTATCTCTTCCGGAGGTCAACTTTGTGCATCCTTGGGCTGGGCAGGCATCTGGACCCTCGGCCTCTGGCTGCCGCGAGTGGCCTTTCCGCAGCCACATCCAGTCAGCTGCTTGTGAAGTGAGATATTCAGAGACATCGCTGCCACCTGCTTTCAGCAGCACAGCAAAACTACTGACACACGCAATAAATACCGACTCCTGATCTAGAAAGCTCACTAAATTCTGGAATTCAGCAACCACAGAGTAACTCTGCAGGCTTCTCAAGTGATCTAGACTGACATCAGACACATACCAGAACTTTGTAGAGAATCCCAGGCTGCTTTATAAAACTTCTAACGCATTAGAAGCAACATGAGAATTCATGCATATTATTTAACCACGCAGATAATTTAAGATAATCAATGTTAGTCCAAGTTGCAAATGTGTTACCTATTTTTTTTTTTTCAGCATTCCACTTCACTCTCCATCTTCTCTCAATGATCGCCTTTGGTTTCTAGGACCTCCTTAAAGATTCTGATTCTTCCAAGACTGGAAAGTGCTGACATGGGAAGCTCTTGACCTGACCCTGGCCTTTTCCCCTTTATCCTTTGCTGTTGCCTGCCTCCTGATTTCTCTGCAGGAGCAGACCTTGTTCATACATCATCCAAAGTAGGAGCCTGGGTCTGGAAACAGGGTAGAACCTGGGGACAGCTCTGGGAGAATAAGAAGGAACATGATCCACTTTATATTTACGTAGAATGTTCATTAAAGCAGAAATTGTTGTGGTAATAACTAACTCATGTGGCTGGAGCATGGTCCTGGGAGCCACAGGACCACATGCAAAGTGGGCAGGCCCAGGTCAGACAAAGCTGCGAGGGGTCTCAGCACAGCTTACTGTGAGCCTGGGACTCGGGCAAGTTTATTTAACATCCAAGCCCTATTTCCCAATCATAAAATGGAGGTAAGACCCATCCTGTAGGCATCTGAAGTGATCAAAAACACTTAGGTAAAGTACAGGGCAACCAATCAATAAACAGCAGCATTTATAGAATTTCCTAATTTATAATGAACTTTTGCATACATGGTTTCACTTCTTACTACCCTGACTAAATCCAAGTCTTCCATTTTTGGCTAAAGCAGCACCCCAGTGTTCTTCTAACTTCGAAGGGCCAAAATATTTTCACCCTGACTTCCCTCTTTTGCCAACTTTAATTATTGGGAGCAGAAATGTAACACTCAGTGTGAGAGTCATAGAGCCTTGTCTGGACTCAGTGGTGACATCACAGGGGATGAAGTCTGGGCACAAGATACAGGGGTGTGGTGATGGACACACCCATTTGCCAACCCTCTTCCAACCCAGTCCAGTCTCTTGGTTCACAGCAGCAAAGGGTCACTTCTGTTTCTAAGGCTTAGAGGTAAGTCGAAGGCAGCTTTGGTGGGAGTTCTTTCAGTTCAATGATAAACAAGTTTGTTCTCCAGTGCATTCCAGGAATCTTTGACCCATCACCACATATGTGTCTGTATTTGAGTCTATAGTCAAATACATACCTGTTTCTTTGCATAAGGCCCATTTCAAATGCAAAAGGCATTGAAAGATATTAATAGAACTCTTACTTCTAACCCAAGACAACTAGCTAGGAAGTGACAGTCATGATCTGGACTTGGTGTATTGAGTGACTGATTCAACAGCAACATGAAGCATGTGAACTCAAGTACCATTAGAGGTCAGGCTGCTACTGCTAAGTCACATCAGTCGTGTCCGACTCTGTGTGACCCCATAGACGGCAGCCCACCAGGCTCCCCTGACCCTGGGATTCTCCAGGCAAGAACACTGGAGTGGGTTGCCATTTCCTTCTCCAATGCATGAAAGTGAAAAGTGAAAGTGAAGTCACTTAGTTGTGTCAAACTCTTCGCGACCCCATGGACTGTAGCCTACCAGGCTCCTCCATCCATGGGATTTCCCAGGCAAGAGTACTGGAGTGGGGTGCCAATGCCTTCTCCTAGAGGTCAGGCAGTGAGTGTATAAATGTGAAACAGCAGGTGGAAGGCAACAGGGAGTGGGGAGGCTGGTGAACAGAGTGTACATGTCAACCTGAAGGCATTCACATGGAATTGCTTTGCTTCAAACACTACGGTTGACAAATTTTAAAAGTCTACAGGCTGCCCATCTGCCACCTTGCGCCACTGTACCATTAATAGAACTTTTGTTAATTGCTTTCATTCAAAATATTTTGACATTCTTTTTTCCTTTCTCTTTTCTTTTTTTTTTTTTTACTATTAAAAAAGGGAGTATCAGCTCCTTTTTATTTTTACAAGATTTGCTTCTAAGATATTTTATGTAAATTTCTTCTTATGTCTAAATACAGCTTCATGCAAACAGCATTTATGACCAAACAGTTAATGTAGCTACCCATTCTTTTTTCTCGTTGGCTGTGCTCTCTCTCAGCTGTGGTATGTGGGCTGTTTAGTTGTCACACAAGTGCTTAGTTGGGGCACGCAGAATGTCATTCCCTGATGGGATTGAACCCAGGCCCCGTACATTAGGGGTAGAGTCTTAACCACTGGACCACCAGGAAAGTCCCTACATATTCAGTTTTTTAAAAAATAAACAGCCTTAAAATGGTTCTCTAAATTTGGGCAAAAATAAAGTAAAAATTTATTATTGTTGTTGTTGTTGTTTAGTCACTAACCTGTGTCTGGTTGTTTTCTGATCCCATGAACCGTAGCCCGCCAGGCTCCTCTGTCCATGGGGATTTCCCAGGCAAAAATACTGGTGTGGGTTGCCATTTCCTTCTCCAGGGGATCTTCCAATCCAGGGACTGATCCCATGTCTCCTGCACTGGCAGGCAGATTTTTTTACCAGACCCGTCCTAAAGAAGGGACAGACTGGTGGCGTCTAGAGGTGTGAAAGCAAATCTAATCCAGAAAAGCTCTCTGGAGGAGGCAGTATTTGAACTAGGAGAGATGGAAGGAATACTTCTCTTAAGCAAAGGAAAAAAAAAAAAAAAAACTCTTCAGGTAAAACAAACAAAGGTGAGAAAAAAAAGGAAAGCTGGGCTATTCCAGAAAAATAAACAGTCCTATTTTGTTGGAGAATAGAACACAAAATCTTGGCATTAGAGAGCAAAGTCCAAAAAATCATCTGAGACCAGATGGGCAAGGCCTTTGACTGCCAAACTAAGGAGTTTGGCATTTATTGGCTGGGGAATGGGAGGTAGACAGGCCAGAAGGCAAAAGAGATGAAATGGCCTGATCAGAGAATGGGTTTTCTAGAAGATAAATCTGCCTCTTTGATTTTACAGACCCTTTCTTAAGCGTGATTTTTTTCCTAGACAACTTCAACCTGAAAAAAAAAAAAGTCATTCTTCTCAGCATGTTTTTAAAAGTAAACTTGGTCACCATAAATGTATAGGAGAAAAGGAGACATAGAAACTAGCAGCAAATCCAGCAAACATGGCCATCTGTTTCTGGGACTCTTAGAGATCAGCAAAAATAGCTTTTTAAAAAACACGGAACTATGGCTGAAATCATATTTTACAGCGTAGGTTTCCACTAGTGACTACTTATAATTTTATTTGTCTGGCATTTTCCATAAAATATACCATCACCAGCACATCATGAAAAGCTATCATCTGTTCCATTATAAATGCAAAGAATGAAAAAGGAAAGATAAGAGGAAGGGAGGAGAGGAGGAAGATGATACATGGCTTGTTAGGAAATGTAAATCAAATGTCAGAATCGACCTTTTCAAAGCAATGATGAAGAAAAAGAAAAACATCAAACAATCTGTTCAGAACTTTTATGAAAAAGTGGTGTAGGATAAAAACACAACGGGGTTTGGAGTCAGAAAAGCTCTTTTGGAATCTCCACTCTCTCCTTTTATTACTACCTTCTTGTGATGAGATAAATTTCCTCCTTTTTAAATGGTGATATAATTTATTACTTTAATGGTTGTGAGGGATAAAAGTGTCACACTGTGTCATGGATCATAGGTATTTGCCTCTTTCTCTCCTTTGGAAAGGAAGGGATGTGCCTGTTGTATGATGGGGCTGTGGCCATGGGGATTACACAAAGGCAACAGCTGCTTGAGCTCTCCCAACCTCCAAAGGGAGTCTAAACATCCATTTGGTCAGCTTGGGTCTGCATACAAGGGAGAGAGGCAGAGATGCCAGTAACACCAAGGACCAGGCGACAATGATCACTTTGGCTTCACTGGGGCAGGCTTCGAGTGACCTCTCTGGAAGGAATTCATGACCGTACTTCCCCTTTCTCTAGATCAGTATTAATTAATAATGAATAAATATTAAAACTAGTTGACCCCCTTGAGAATACCATATGAAGCCAAGGGGGAAAGGCACAGAAGGGAGATACAGAGGAAAAAAAAAACATTTGGAGATTTCAAATGTGTTAAAGCACAGTGAGAATAATCTGCTGGAAACACATTCATTTACAAATATTCATTGAGCACCTATTTGGACCAGATGCTGTGTAGGCTGTGAGGACATATCTATTAACGAAAAAGAAAAAAAAAAAAATCCCTGCCCTCACAAAACTTACATCCTAGTGAAGAAAGAGACAATGAACAAAACAATAAATGCACAGTAGATTAAATCTACTGTAGATCTGAATCTACACACATGAATAGAAAAAGAGAAGGTGTAAACTTTGAGGCAGAGTCCTCCTATGATAACACCGGGGATTCTTGGAATTCTGGCCACACACAACAAATAAAGGGCAGGGATTTTTGTGGAAAAGAGTGACAGTGGAAATTACATGCTGCAGACTAATATGAATTTATCATTCTGAAAGAGAGAAAGGAGAGAAGTGTGTATGTGCATTGGGACCTCCGGGTATTCTCCTGAATTACCTTAAGGAGAAAATTGGGGGGGAGGGTGCACATGTTCCAGCAGCAAGATGGAGAGGGCAATTTCTTTTTCACCTTTTACAATTTCTTAAATCTGTCAGGTTACAAATGATTCTTAACTTCCTTGGGCTTTACAGTATTTTCCAAACAAATACAAAAATAGTTAAAGAGGGATGAGTGAGTTCTACATGTATTAACACAAAAATCAGTTTGCAATACATAAAGTGGAAAATATAAGTTACAGAGCTTTGTAACTTGTGATCACATGTATGTAATACAGTTTTTTATAATGGCAACTCACGTTAGACAGCTTAGTTATCCCGCCGAAGTCTCAGTGATTCACCTCTGAGCCTTTCCCTTTTTACCGCCCACACACAACATCACTAAAGAATGGCTTCTGTCTTGGAGTAGCCTTCCAAATGTATCCCTTCTTTTCCATTCTGTTTGTCGCTGTTCTAGGTTAGCTGTCATCATCTCTCATTCGAACAACTGCATAAATCTCCTTACTGGTCTCAGTACATGCGCCACAAACTAAATTTGCTTCTCAAAACATCAACCCTCCCTTGATTCTCCAATGAGCACTGTGGATTGAGTCCAGTCTTAGCATGGCTTCCAACACTCTTCCAAATCTGGCCTATCCTACCAGCAGTAGACAATGATTCCTGTCTAATAATGGTTTCCTCCACTCCTCTTTACTAGCAGAACCCTAATTTTGTGCAATTAATGAACAGAGACTCTTGATCTCAGGCTTTAGCCCCAAGTGATATGCTATGGGTTGATACATAGCAGGCAATCACTTCTTTATTCTTTTTTAATTAAATGAACAAATGGTATAAATTAGTCATGTTTATATGATTCCTCTTCGCAAATGATTAGTCTACAAGTCAACATGTAACCCAGTTCTGGCCAATGAGATACTACAAGTATGTCCCATCCTTCCTGTTTGGAACTTACAGCAGCCATCTTGGAACCATGAGATCACAGAGAAGAAGGCTAGAAAAATCGACGTGCTAAGTCTGGCAGAATGTAATGAGATGAAAGCTTATGTTATTGATGATATAGATCCAGCGACTCTGGAATTGCTTACCTCCAACTCCTGAGATAAAAGCCTGTGTTATTGATGATCCAGAGTGGTAGATCCAAACACTCTGAAACTGCTTACTTCCAAATTCTTATTAAAGGATATATCAAAATATCTTTATTGCCTAAATTGGACTTTCATATGCCTATGAATCACTTGGAAATCTCATTAAAATGAAAATTCTGATTCAGTAAATTTGAGGTGGGGCCCGAGACTCTACATTAATAAAAGACTCCCAGGTGATGCTGCTTTCCAAGGACCACATTTAGAGAAAGGAGGATGTAAACCACTACAAAATGGACATTCTATTACTTTTAGCTGGCAAGTATGGGTTGAAAGGTATGAATGCTAAATTTCACCTAATTACTTTTAGCTGAACTTATCCATACTGCCTACTGTCCCTCCCCACATACCAAGCTAACTACACTAATCATCCAAACTTCTCAACACATACAAAAAGCCTCCTGAGCCTGCCTCATGCTCATCCTTTACTTGAAGAAGCTTCTGTAGATTTTACCACTATTCCACACATCAGCCTGGGTCACTTTTTTCACTCACTGATTTTATTTGCACTCACTCCCATATATGTTTCCCTAGGGTCTTTTATTCAAGTCATTATTAAACAATTACAGCTACTTGTTTAATAGAAAAGATGATTTTGAAAGACTTGAAATTTAATTGCAAAACTGTTGAATTCCCTAGTAGATTTTATATGTTATATTATGGTTGTATTCCATTTCAGTAGCATGGAAATTAAAAACCACATAAACAGTGTTCTATTGCCAGTAATGACATGCATGTGTCTCTCCTTGATTAATGCTTAATTGCACATGGCACTTCAACAAATTTTTTTATCTTCTGATATTAATATGCATCAGCTTGAAACTGAGCTCATACGAATTTTTCATGCTCACTCTCAGATTACAAACACCATCTCTCTCTTATCTCTCCAAGAAACTCCTACCTGATTCTATTTCATTAATTATCAACATGCTTTTCTTAGCACACTGCATTTCCAAGTATTTTTTTTTAAAAAACATTACTCTGAAATTTAGCATTCGTACCTTTCAGCCCATGCTTGCCAGGAAAGGCCTCCAACGACTCAATTAGAATGCAAGTTATGTCGAGTGTCGGGATGGGAGGAGGTGAAGGAGATGAGTCCCCGCAGCTGTCAGATAGCACATCAATCAGCAGGTGATGGCTGCACACCATCAATCAGACGTGCTGATGTGCTTTGATTTCCACTGTAAATGAGCACAATTTATCTGCCGGCCCAATCAACCTAACACCATCACAAAATCTGTGCAAACGAGGACATGAGGAATAACTAAAAAAAGCAGGACTCCAGAGATGGAGGATTTTATTCAAATTCTACCAATGACTCTGCACAAGAATATCACCTTTCCCTTGCCCCTCAATACCCCGCTTCCCACACCAAATCAGCAGAACTTAAAGTCACACACTGTAAAAGTGACAATCCAAAACTACTTTATGGGGACTTTCCTGGTGGTTCAGTGGCTGAGACTCTGCACTCCTAATGCAGGAGGTCTGGGTTTGATCCCTGGTCGGGGCACTAGATCCCACATGCCATAACTAAGAGCTCAAATGCAGCAACTAAAGATCTTACATACCACAGTGAAGATCAAAGATCCTGTGTGCCACAACTAAGACCTGGAACACCCAAATACAATTTTTAAAATAAATATTAATAAATAAATAAAACTACCCTATGACATCCACAACAGATTCAGCAAAGACTGAAACAAAAATCTCAAAGAACTGTGTGAGGATACTGGGATGAACAGATAAATCATCTCAGGGCTCCTGGTATGAGCTGGAAGCCACCAGGCTACAAGTAACCGCAGGCTCTGTGACAGTCTCAGCCTTGCCAATATTTCTAGCTCATTGCTGTTTTCCAGGTAAATCTTTCCCACCTTCCACCTCCTTCAAATTCCACTACATTAATGGTGAACGGTTTGTAATCCCATGAAAGGATTATTCATAGTCTGAGGACTCTTAGGTATAATATGTAGATTTGTGTCCTGGCAAAGCACGGTGGCATGGTAAAGTACATATCAATTATCATCTGTATCTGAACTTCATGTTAATATTCTGAAAGCTAAAACTCATAACTTACTGCCTTGCTTGTCCAGGCAAAGACTGTGACCTCTTTCAAGACTTTCAATACTTACTGCTCTTGGACAAATACTATAGCCACTTTACAGATCCTGAGTGCTTTACTGAGCAGATACCCTGAGCTCTTTAAAATATTTATTTTGAACATCCCTTTCAAATACCCTTTTTGAAGTCTGTTAATTTATAACCATAAGGTCCACTTCCCCTCTTGCTAAGTGTCATTATATCCTGTCTTCTCTAGCTGAGAGTCATGAGGCCCTTCTCCGAATGCTGACCAAATCATTTGGTATGTTTTGATATAGGAATGTATCTGTGAAACCAATGCAATTTACCAAATATTTCCATAACCCCCTTAAATTCTTATGTCCCTTTGCAACCCATTCCTCCTTCTGCCCTATCCCCAAGCAACCACTGAACCACAGATTTGTTTTCTTCACTAAAGATTAGTTTGCATTTTTGGGGTTTTCTATAAATGGAATGATATAGCATATATTCTTTTCATCAGTGAGGGGAGAGCCTGTCTTATTCAGTAAAAGATTTTGAGGTTTTGCACAGTGCTATGTGCATCCTTTTTACTGTGAGTAGCATTTTACTTGCCACCTGTTGATGGACATCTGGGTTGTTTTCAGTTTCTGGGCTGGTTTCCGTTTTTGGCTATCACATATAAAGCTGCTAGGGGCACTGGTACACAAGGCTTGGTGGAGACGTGTATTTTTGTTTTCATGTAGATTCCGATCACTGTACTGAAATTTTGCAAAACCCCAGTGGCACAGCCGGCTTGTGGTTCTTGGGCTGAGAAGACAACTAGCTTTGGCAACAGCAGAACTTCCACTCCACACACCCTCTCCAGACCCCACTGGTCCCCTGCCGCCCCCTCCCCGGCCCCCCCTGCAGCCGCCACAACTCACTTCCTCTTTCTGGGGCCAATGCCTCTAATTCTTTTCCTTAACCCTTCAATGCCCTAGTCACGGTCTAGCCTCTCCCTGGCGAAACGACAGACCTGTTTCCTTCCTATTCAGACAAGACAAAGGGATTGCTTTAACAGATTCATATATGGGTTTTTCCAACGTTTCTAATCTATTCAGATTGTCTGTATGATAGTCAAGACACCAAAGCAAGCGCCAGTTAAATTCAAAGTAAGATATCAAAGTGTATCGCTTCCACCTATCTTCACATTACCACTTTGACTGGCACCTTCTTTTAGAGAGCCAATGTTTCTTTCTTTCTTTTTTTTTTTTTAGAGCCAATGTTTCTTGGCATAAACAAAATATTATGGCTTTCTTCATATTTGTTCCAGCTTCACTGTAGACAGGTTGGAAAATTATAATTTTAATGAAGGCCTGTCTTTGTTGTCAACACTCAAAATGTCCACGTTTCCAAATGAATCACAGCTGACTTTTATTTTGGCTGTAATTCCAAGATGAAATTGTCTCAGTGAATCCACATTTTAAAATTTCAGCCCATATCTGTTCACTAGATTCTATCCAAAAGACCTAAAATGTATCCCATTTCACAACTGTGAAACAGAACTGCTACTGTTTAGCTACGAATATAGCACTAAGTTTAGACTTACATAAAGGCTTTGTATGGGAATCCTGGATGTCACATTATAATCTTTTGGTATCTGTTCCCTTTGGTGTAGAAACACTGTGGACTGGTTGGTAATGTAGAAGCATAAGGCAGGGTTCAAAAATTACATACGTAACATCTTTCGTAGCAGTAAACCTGTGACAACATGGAGCAAAGCAGGCTGGACCAGGGTGCTGGCTTTTGGTCCTAGGTTCTTCAGAGACCACACTGAATACCAGCTCAAGGCTTTACTTTGGGCCCAAACTCAGTGACCAATCTGGGTCAGCCATGCAACGGCCTGAGATATATTTATTAAGATGCACTTAAGTATTTTATTTCATTTACAATTTTAACATATTGTTTCATGTATTTCTTACAAGTAGGATTTTTAAAAACCAGTCTTACTTTGTTAAAATTCAAATCACTTATTTGAGCCCCAATTCTCTGTCTTTCTGTGTAACTGTCTGGCACAAGTCTTAGTTTTGCCCTGCCAACCCCTTCCTGGAGCTATGGACCGGTCAACCACCAACCCAACAAGGAAAATTAACAGCTACATGCCCAAAATAACTTCCTTAGAGGTCAGTTGAGAATGGGTTGGTTCTAGAACTTTGCTTCTTTAAAATCAGAAAAATACTATTTCAGATAATTTGGGTTTTGGTGGGGGTTTTTTTTTGAGAAAATTTAATTATTCATGCATTTTCTTTTTTCCAACTATATTGAATATAACTGACATATAACATTGTATGTTTAAGGTATACAAATAATTTCATATAGATAGATAAATGATTACTACAATAAATTTAGTTAAAAACCATTAAAATTTTTGTTTTTTTAAGAACAGAACACTCTCCAGGCGACATCCTGAACAGGAGGTTGTTCCTTTGGCCCTCGAATTGAGACAGGCTGGGACCTGGGACCCTATGCTTCAATGCTGCGGTGCTTGCACCTGGACATATCTCCCCACCAGCAACAAAATATAAAGAAACTGTATGGAACTAAAAATAACTGCGGTCATGGGCTGTGAGGGCAAATTCTGGACAAAAGATACAAAGAGACCAAAAAGCCCAAGAGACACTTCTGAAGAGCTTGGAGCACACGCAGGGTACTGCGCAGGCCCCCTGCACATAACACCAGCTAAGACGTGGACAGAACACCTAAGGCACCCCTCCAAGCCCGCCCCCTGGGCACACCCTGCCCTCTGCGCGTATAAGGAGCCAGCTTGCTCCCCAGAGCAAGCAAACAAGCAAGGAACCTGTTGTTTCTTCTCCTTCCCCTGAAGCTGGGGCCCCAGTAAACCGTCTGAATTTCCTGTCTGGCCTCTGATCAGTTTCTATTGATTAAGGAGGCCAAGAACCCTGGTGAGTAACAACACTCGGTCAAAAGCAGGAGTACCTTCTCTCCAACAAAGCCCAAATTTTCCTTACCCACCAAAATGACACACGCCATCACATCCCTGATTCCTCCCAAGCAAGAAATACTCCAGGTACTAACTAAGCACAAGCAAAGCAAACGACTTCCCTTCATTAGGCAGCTAGCCCCTCTCCAGGAATATGAACTCCCAGCAATGCCACATGTGACCCAGCCTAAGAGTCCAAGTAAAAAATATCTGACTACAAGCTTTACGTGGAAATTCTGAGCAACCAGTAGTAATGATAAAGTCCAACCCTGTACAGTTTAAGAAACAATTCTGATCCAAGAAGTCTCTTGAAGAAGAACCTGTTTCCAATTGATAAGTGTGGTTATATCTTGGTGTAGAATGGGGATTGGGAAGTAGAGAGACTTAACAGTTTATCCTTTACCCATATCTGAATTAATTGAATTTCTATAATTAGCATTTATTGTAATTAAATGTTTTAAATGAAAAAATACTTTCCTTGGTTCTGAGTTTTTTTCTCCAGCCCTCCTCATAGTGGACATAAAGCATTTTTAGGCTGCCCAGCATCACATGACTGTCTTATTTAGGGAGAAATTCTCAAATAGGTGGCAACATGGCCCCCTCTGCTGACGGGGGACAAATATTCACACTCTCTCCCTTTCTGGCAATCAGTGTTGGCTCTGCCAGACAACCACGTGTTCATTCCTGTCTGGGACTTGAAGCTCGAAGGGGTAATTTCAGGTCATAGGTCAGTGAGATCAGACTCACAAGGAGGGCAGCGTCTGTGGAGTCCAGTGGGGCCGCAGCTCACAGCCAGGGGTGGGAGCGCGGAGGACACTGGTGTCTGGTGGCAGGGGTGTCAGAGTGGTGTCCTTAGCAAGTACTCCTGGGCTACAGCCTCGGCCATGGTTCCGCCTGCCTGGCTCCCCTTGGTTGCTGCTCATTTGTGAGGCTGGATTATCTCGGTCTTTATGTTGATTCTGAGAACTACCCTACATCCTTTCAATAAATTCTTTTTCTGCTTATGTCATCCAGGGTTGATTCCTGGAGCCAAGAATTGTGACCCAGAATTTGTCCATTCATTCATCCAATAAAGTATTTTATTTTTCCTTTTTTTTTTGGTCAGGCCACACAGCTTGTGGGATCTTAGTTGCCAGACCAGCGATCAAATCCGTGCCCCCTGCAGTGGAAGTGTGGAGCCCTAACCATTAGACAACCAGGGAAGTTTCCCAACAAAGTATTTACCTGCCTAATATGTGCCCAATACTGCTCTAGGCACAGGGATTCTGCTGTGAGCAAAATTAAAATCCATTCGCTCGAGGAGGTTATAGCCCAGAGGATCTCATTTCCTCCTGGCCCTGGCCTCCTTTGCCTTTCTCTGGAAGCCTGTTTTCATCTGATACTACCCCTCTAGGCCTAAGCCAAGCCAAGCCGAGCTGGCTTTTCTATCTCCCCTGACATCAAGGAGCAAGGACGTTCTCATGTCCTCCTGGCCTTGCTCTTGAGTTCAGGCCAGATCTGTGGTTTTGACACCATGCACAGTCATTCATGGTCATTTCATAAGTGTCTGCCAGCACCTAGACTATTTGAGACACCCTGCTAGGAGTTGAGTCACAATGTTGAAGCAGTCACTGTCCTCAGGGATATTACAGTGAGGCAGCAAAGACAGACAACAGACATTTAAGGAAGCTGTCAAGGGTGATGTAGGCCAGGGAAAAGAAAGCATGTTGCCCCAGAATACATAACAGGAACACCTTGCCAGCTTTAGGAGGGAGCCAGGGAAGGCTTCCTGGGGGAAGTGAGTTTTAAGCTGAGACATGAGGGATGACTTAAAGTTGGATAGCTGAAGACGAGAGAGAGCAGAACAGTCGGAAGGAACAACAGGGACTTCCCTGGGGGTCCAGTGGCTAAGACCCCACCCTCCCAGTGCAGGGGGCAAGGGTTCAATTCCCGGTCAGGGAGCTAGATCCCACATGCTGCAAGTGAGACCTGATGTGGTCAAGTAAATAAATAATTTTTAAAAAGATGGAACATGCAATATACCAGAAGCAAGAGAGGGCACAGCCCGTCGAGAAAATGGAAGGAGTTCAGTATGGTGGGGGCAAGAAACATAGGCACTTGTGAGGGAGGGACAGTGGTTAAGGTGAGGCTGGAGGGGCAGATAAAGAGCCTTATTGGCACTCCACAGCTTTATTCCCAGAACAGTCAGAAGCCATCTGCGGAGGAGCTCAAGCAGAGGTGGCAACAGAAGGGTGTACTGTTGGTTCTGCAAATTAGAAAGATCACCGCATGTCAGGTGGAATGAACTGGGGACGGGAAATACAGAGACACCAGGATTATTTCAGAGCTCACCAAGAGTTCAGAATAGAAAAACTACACTCCAGGTGGCAGAGTGGTAAAGAATCCGCCTGCCAATGCAGGAGATGCAGGAGATGCCAGTTCGATCCGTGGGTTGGGAAGATCCCCTGGAGAAAGAAATGGCAACCCACTACAGTATTGTTGCCTGGAAAACTCCACGGACAGATGAGCCTGGTCGGCTATAGTCCATGGGGTCCCAAAGAGTCGGACACGACTGAGTGACTGAGCATGCATGTAAGAACTAGCAGGGGCAGGAGAGATGAAGAGAAGCAGGAATAGTCAAGGGACATGTATTGGGTACAATCAAAAAGACTTGTGAGTGATGGGTGGGTATGAGGTGAATAAGGAGAGAGAGAAGTCACAGATGACCCCCAGGTGTCTGATTTGCGTAGCCAGGTGGGTAGGAGGCCTTCAACCAAAAATAAACAAAATGCTGAAGAGGAAATGACTTTAGTTTGCTTGTTCGTCTTCAGTTTAAAGTGACCAAGGAGAACTGCCTGATTGGCAGCTACAGATGTGGGCCCAGATTTCTGTGCAGAGATACGAGGTAGAGGATGGGAGCCAGGATCACATGGGCAATGACTGAGGTCTGGGAGTGGTGAGACACCCCTGCGGCTGACACAGTCATGGGGTGGGCTGTGTTATTCTTACAAAGGTTCATTGCCCCTTCCTGGGGGGGAGATTCAACTTTGCCACCTTGCTGTTGCCACGTGACTTGTTTTGGCCAATGATATGCAAGTGGAAATGACATGGATCACCTCCTTCTGTACAGAAAGCTGACCTTTAAGGTCAGCTCAGCGTTCTCCATGGGGCTGCCCAGGTGGCGCTAGTGGTAAAGAACCCGCCTGCCAATGCAGGAGACACAGGAGACCTGAGTTCGATTCCTGGGTCAGGAACATCCCCTGGAGGATGGCATGGCAGCCCACTCCAGCATTCTTGCCTGGAAAATCCCATGGACAGAGGAGCCTTGTGGGCTGCAGTCCATGGGGTCACAGAGCTGGACACGACTGAAGCACCTAAGCACATATGCCTGCAGGGTTCTCCACGGTTCCTTCTCTGTCTGCTATGATGAGCAGCAACATTCCAGAGAGAGGCTGCACGGTCGGCCTGGACCTCATTATAAAGATTTCGAGTCACCAAGTGGTAGGCAATTCACAATGAATACATAGCTAGAACAAGAAATAAATATGTGTTGTTATAAGGCACTGAGATTTGTTTGTTACTGCAGCAAAACCAAACCTACTCTGACTGATACAGGTGGGAAGAGAAGCAGGTCTATGGCAGAAACCTGCAGAAAAGCGACATTTATCAGCTGATACAGTGGAGCCTGCAGAGAAAGCCCACTCCTGCCCTAGCTTCTGACTCACAGAAACCTCTGCAAATTACCTCTTGCATTCACCTCTGGCCTACCTTGTTTTTGGGTCTTCGGCCTGGAGGTCGTCTGGGCAGCCTGATGTACATTTGCTCCTGGCACAGGCCTGGGGACGCCTTGCACTGTGGTGTCCACGCCTCTTCTGACTCATCCTGAGCTGCTGGGCTTGATTCCTGGATGTGTCTTCAGACCAACAGCTGTCCTGCCAGTTGACCTTTCCAGGTTCCAATCAGCCTGATTCTTCTTGTCTTCTCACTCACACCACCCCCTCCCGCCCAACTCCACCACCAGCACACACTGACGTGTAAGCGTCTTCACTGACACTGAACACATGCAATAGAGACGGCTTCTGCTCCTCTTTGACCTGGGACAGGCTCTTCCACAGGCCACCCCGCTCTCCTGCCTTCCAGGCTCCCTTTCCCATAGATCAGGACTGAGAATGCCACCATCTATTTAGAAGCCCTTTTTTTCCCAAATGAATAGGACTATGCCACTTCTGTGGTTTTGGTCCAGCCCTCAAACCAGAGGTAACCAGTCTGCCAGGACAATTATGATCAGCATTGAAGTCAAGATAGAGAAACATATCTACCTTTTCTTAAGTTTACCCATTGTTCAACGTTCTGTACATTTTGTCCACAACATTAGCTGTTAACATTTACTGAAAGCTTATTAGGAGACTTCCCTGGTAGCCCCAGTATCCTCGCCTGGAAAATCCCATGGACAGAAGAGTCTGGCAGGCTAGCATCCATAGGGTCGCAAAGAGTCGGACATGCAGAGCGCGAACACTGGCCCTGCAGAGAGGCCCAGTGGGAAAGAACCCATCCTGCGGAGCAGGGGACGCAGGCTGATCCCTGGTCAGGGAACTGGGATCCCTCAGGCTGCAAAGCAGTTAAGCCCACACACCACAGCTACTGAGTCCGCAAGCCACGACGTGAGAGTCCGTGCGCCGCAGCGAAAAGATCCCGCACAACTTACTCGATGGCAGACAAGGTGCTGAATATTTAACACACCATTTATTTTGTGTCTCACAGGCAGTCTAAGAATAGTATTATTTTTTCTATTTTACAAGTGGTAAAACAGATTTTAAAAGTTCACATATTTGCCTAAGAAAACACAGCCAATACCAGTAAGGTTGAAAGTCTACCTAACTCCTGAGTCCTTGTTTCCTAGTCTTCTGCTATATGCGTGTGTATGTTGAGATATA